TCAGATAAGCTTTAACTGTTTATAACTGGCCTACCCAGTCAGATAAGATCATGTAAGCTTTAACTGTATCTAATTAGCCTAATTAGTCCCTACCCAGTCAGATAAGCTTTCTTTGTTTATAATTTATAACTGGTTATTTCTCATGGTTCTTCACTCAACACAAACAGGTGGAACGTTTGCTTAGCCTTTCTTTTCCAGGGAAACTGATTAACATGATTTAGTCCTGGTAGATGCTCAGTTGTCGATGTTTGTTTTAGTTCATGCATGTTCATGCTATTTGTGATGTCGACTTCCCTCCGGAAGCCAGGGAGCTGGTCCCTCGCCGTGGCGTAGCCAGCGGGATCCCACACTGCCGACGCACACGTCGACATGGAAGTGGATGGCAGCGTTCATCACGGAGGGGGTTGGTCTTCCGAACTCGATCCGCTTCCGATGCGTTCGTCAGAGGGGGCCGGGCATGGTCTGGTCACCCACCGCTTTTCAAACCCGCTCCGTCCATCGCCATGTTGGGGATCCCAGCAGATGCCCAGAGGCCAGTCACCAGGGTGAGGCCCAGCCAAAAGACCACCATGTTTTGGAGTATACAGCTAGTAACAGCTAGTAATTAGACAGTGTTGGGATCTGAACCATGTTGCATGTCTTTTTTTAACTTCTATCGATGCATGAAGAATGATTGATATAGAGTTACTGCATCGATGATCTGGTCGTTTTTCTTTTTCGCCGGAATACTTGGCTGTGGGCCAAAAGCCAGGCAGCTGGTTGAGAATGACCCCCTGGGAATGAACCAATGTCTCTATGTCTCTATAGTGTGTCAACCTACCATCTATTACATGGTGTCAGGAGGTTTTAGACTCACAGCCACACATTGAAAACATGGGATCAGGACCGGCATGGAACCACACAATGCATCCATCTTGTTCGATCCATGAAGGCCACGTTTGGAACCCTGCCAACTCCGAAGTCCTACCACTGGATGTCGGCTCTGACTGAGCCACTCATATGCTCCAGTCCCGCGCCTTGAAGTAGTAGCTGCATCCTAAAACGAACTTGTATCCATCCCCCCCAAGAGAAGAAGACATCGGTACTGAGACTTGGTCGGCTCTGGCCTTGGGAATCATCCTGCTTCTCCTGCACGCCGCAGCGCCTCCAAACCGATGCTCCGAACCAAAAGGCACCCGATGCGGCGGGCTTTGGCTGGCGGACCTGGCGGAGCCACATCAAGTCGTTTTGCGTTATACGTTGGAACCACAGGTGACCTGCTAAACTAGGACGCTTAGACGTTTCTGGATTGTTTCTGAGGTTTCCACCCCTCAAAATGGGTTTTAGTGCATCCAGATGGGGAGGTGAAGAACACAGCCAGATTTGACCGTGGATCGCCTGAACCGGGGAGTCGTTCTCGGCTCCGTTGAGGAGTGGTCTTGGTCGCCCCTTCAAGGTTCAGAGAGTCCATGGTGTGCAGTGAGGTGTAGTCAGATTTCACTAGAGAGACCTCCCTCAAAGACCCCCATGGAAGAGACATAGACCAGTTGGTCTACCCAGTCGTTTACCCAGGTCACATCCACATGTGGTGCTCTCCGAGGTCGGGTGCCAGGAGGTTAGGTGCCCCTTTGACCTCCACCGGCCCATGCCGGAACGGACGAAGCCCAGCGCCACGGCCACGGCGGTCTGCAGGGTCGAACCTGGAGTCGACCTGTGAAAGTTTGGAAGAATGGGATGCAGTATATATATATATATATACCCCAGACCATCCATGGGACTGGTATATTTGCCTACATTGAGGTGGTTTCAGGGGTTAGGCATATCCGGCGACCCCTGCCTAGCTGACGCCCAGGCGGGGCGGCGCCTGGGACAGCGCAGCCAGAACCGCTTGCCTGTAGACTCCTGTATGGTGCATGCAGCCCCCGGGACCACACCAACAGGCCGTATAGCCACGCCAACAGGGCGCACAGCCTGTTTCTTGCAGCTACCTGGGGCTTGTCCCGGAATCCTCTATCTATGGTGTTCCGAAGGCGACGTTAGAGAGTGGCAGCGGTAACTCTTTGCTCCGTTGAAACCTCCAGGGCCAGGGTGTTTCGCTCTGGCGACACCGAGGTTTTGGCATGGTCCATGCAGCCTCCAAAGCACGCCTGCAGCTACCTGGGGCTTGTCCTGGAGTCCTCTTTCTATGCGGTTCCGCTGGACAGTGGCAGCGATTGCTCCCCACTGTAAGCCTTCAGGGCAGGGTCTTGCCCTCTTCTATATCCCTCACCAAGAATAGCCAGGGCGTTAGCCCTTTCTATATGCCATACATGGATGGTCTGGGTACTACAGTGCCTGTACATCTATGGGACATTATGGGACTGGAATAGTTACTTATGTTGGCCAAGTTTATAGAATTACCATGGCTGCGTGTGGCAGCCCATATCTAGGGTCATCAGGTGGTCCAACGCCCATCCTTGCCTGCTCAAGAATCAGTCTAGAATCCAGCACGGACAAAGCTGAAAACCTTACACCCTCACCAGAGCCAGAATATCATTTTTCAGTGTAAGGAAACCTTTCCGATCCTTTCAGCGACTTGAGTTGTTTTGCATCTTGGCGCATCCAACAAAAACAGCGTTCAACCAGAATGACTTGGATGAGAATCCCTGCATATAGGTAATCTTCCGAATTTTCGTGCATTTCCTCATTGGTCCTTCCCCAAAAAGACTTCATTGAAGGTGACAAGCAGGAAATCGGTTCAAAGAGAGAAAACGCATCGAAGGAGTCTTCTGCGTGGATGTGACTGCGCGAAGCGACCAAACATTGCATCACATGACCCGGGTCTGGACGGTTCGAACGTTTGAAAATGCAACCACATGACCCGGGAAACACAAATAATAGGTACTGTACTTAGTTACTTGTACCCACTTGTATCTTGCAACGTTGAATTCAAACACCTGCAGAACTCATAGCCCAGAACCCGGATCCCTGCGCTTTCCTGGTAACGAACTCCTGTGATCATCACCCTTCGGCTCAGCCTCCATGGCGTCAGTTGGGATCCTCAACTGAGTCTGGGGAAGTGGATCGAACACCTACAAGTTGACCTCTTTTTACTGGACCTGGTCATTATAATAGTACTAGACCAGGAAGTCAGTGGGACCAAATTATACTGGATCAGACTGGACGAGGTGTCGTGCACTCAAGTTGCTTGGTCAGTCGAGGTCAGACTCATCTGGACGGACTTTGCATTGCGCGTCATTGAACCACATTCCGGTCTTTTGGCACTTCCAGTCACTGGGATGGCTGCCATTGAAGCAGCCCGGATGAATCTTGGCAAACTAGCTCAACAAGTCATTAGCCAAAGACCCAAAGACTAGAGATACACTAGAGACCGTGTTTTCAAAGAGCAGCAAGTTGTGAGTGACAGACCACTACTTTCAGAAGAAAGGACTCCCAAACCCCCTAAGGAGCGAACACCGAACCCCAAACCCACTTGCTACTCGGAACCTGGAACGAATTCACGTGACCACTTCTCAGATTTGGAGTCTGTGCGACGGGAGGGACGTCTCATGGCATCCATAGAGTCGATCAGATCCTCCAGGTGGAAGCTAACCACATCTCGTCCCGTGCGCGACCGACCGTGCCGCGGCGGCGGTGGCGTCGACGAGGCGCCGCCGGAGTTGTTGCTCCAGGCGCGAGTCCGGAAGCAACCCCCCAGGTTCCAAGGACCTGGAAGCGACCTGTTCGTAACTGCAGAAAATGGATACAGATCTACCATCAAGTACCTCTTTTGTAGTAGGGTCATGTTCCATGTTCTAAGGTACTTTGGGTCCAAGAAGCTTCGCTTTTTTCAGGTGTTTGGAGGTGCTTGGGGTGGATTTGGAGGGTCGACCGGAGGAGGTACGACCCGAGGTTCGAGGTCAGGGAAGTGCCAAGTGGGAACAACCATTTGTTGGGACGGCTCTGGGTGCAAACCCAGAGTCCGTTTCACCCTGGTAAGTTGGTTTGTTCATGTAAATTCTAAGGAACATCTATGTATAAGTGGGTGTCTTCCAAATAGGAACCGGGTGTCACCCACTGAAGCTACTTCTACATTCATCTCATAGTATGTTCAGTTTGCACTTGCTCGTTGGATCCGCCGACCTGCACAGGTGCAGCATGAGATGCTCCGGCTGATCCAAGCGAACGCAGAGGCCATACATCGGACCCTCCAGCGATCCGCCGTCCCCGGGACTCTGGGACTCCAGCTGGGCAGACGGGCAGGCGGTGCAGGGCGAGATCAGTCAAGAAGGATCAATAAGGTGGATTTTTTTGGGGGGAGTTCTACTGATCTAGCCAGCTATAGCCGGTCGGGATCCGGTCGTACCTCCTCAAAAGGTACGACTGGACCCTCCTGGCACCCAGCCCAGTCCCACCTTCTCAGAGGCTACTTGGATCCTTAAGGTATAGCCGGTCCAGATACCTCACCTTCAGACTCTAGATGTGGCAGCCGGTGGTCTTTTTCCACGCCATGGACATGCCATGCACATGCCACAGGAGCCGTTTCCCCACATGCGCATGCACCGACCGGAGAGTCAGGTGCTGGCTCGGAGCTGTGCAGAAACCTGTGTGCAGCAGGCGGGTCTTCGGTAAATGCTGACGTGAGACCGTGGTATTCGGTCTCCTAAAGGCGAATAGACCTAAAATCTGAATGACCTCTATGTTGAACAGCACTCAAAACATGGTTTGTTCCTATCAAAACAGAGGTCAAATGGGTTCCAGGCACATAATGAATTTGTATTTATAATGCATAATGATCAATATTCCATTCCATGCCTTGATGTTTGTCCACCTGCAACAATCCCGAAAAATGAGGTCAGGAACGGGGTGTCCATCAACCACCCCCACCGTAGGTCCTGGTCGTCTACTCTGTATTTGTGGACCATCCATCCATGGCTCCAAAGGATGGCTCTAAAGCAATGGTTGGAGGGGTCAATCAATCAGTTACTAACTCGTTGGCCCTGGCTAACAGGGGTGGTCTTATTGAAGGGCCTCCCTGGCAGGAGCTTCTTAGCAATTCTTAGCTGGTCGACCAGAAAGTACCAGGTCACCTGTCATGTGGATGGGCACGAAGAGCTTACTAGCATGGCCATATTCTGTTTGTCACTGCCTGTTAGGATGCCGGGATACCTTGAGCACAAGTGCACAGGATTTGTGTCACGAAGTGTGCTTCCATGGGGTCATCTGCGGAGAAATAAGGGGACATACTGAAGACAAAGGGCTGTTTGTTAAGTCAACCTCCACCATGCAATCAATACGCAACAGGACCAGGACCCTATTCCTCCAAATACAAATACAAAACCGGCAGGATTGGGTCAAGGAATCTGAATGAACTCCCCCCCAACTATCACTCGTGGTCCAGACAAAGGGGGCTATAAATAAACACCCCCCAAAAAGGGCTGTGGTACAGGCACCTGTTTTTTCCCTGTCCCAGTCATCTTGAAGAGCGTTGGACGCCGCGTTGGACGCGATTGTGGACTTGGCCAGGTTTGGGCAGCTTCGCTACAGGCAGCGCTGCACTATGGAGATACGACAAGATCACGGAGAAATGATGAAGTACCTATTCCCTGAAATGTATGGGCAGAGTAAGAAAATCACCAAGCGCACAAGCCTGTAAGGTTGGTAGAGGATCCTGAACTGTCGGATTTGGATCTTTTGGGATCTATTTCTTTCTTACAGTAAAAACTGAAGAGAGCTCTGGTTGGGCATAGGGTTTCAGGGCACCGGCTCAGCATTTACTGTGATTTGCTGCGATGAGTGAGAAACTATTGAGGCTCCACAATTCTTGGGGTGGGATGTTGAAGGGTGGACTACGCGTTTGTATGGAATAGTTACATGCATTGATCACCCCAATGAAAAGGAAGAGTCTACGTATTCCATACCTGGAGTGCTTGGGACGTCAGATGATGTCGGAGAGCGTGCTCCCCACGGTGTTCACCACGAATCGACTCCTGCAGAACTGCAGAAAACTGCAGGGCCGTCGACCTCGGTGGACGTATTCAGCAACTGGATGGGATACCTTCCATCCAGTGATGGCATGTGATGACGAAGTATCGAACCCCATGAAGCATCGAAGTTAGACGGAAAGATACGGAAAGGATCTTCCAACAAACGTTCGTTGAGAGGTTGAGGGAGGTTCCAACTGGGACCTATATATAGTGGTACAATGCGGTACATAGGGGATAGGCTGTGATGGGTTACTCAATCGCTGTGGGTCCACTTTCCATTCTTGGAGCACCAAAATGACCTGCGCTTTTCTCCTCCCACGCGACACGATGTTCGCCTGAAGAGGCGGCCTTTGGAGAAGTGGCGCATCTCAAGGAGCAGTCCTTGAGACTGGGGTTGAAAAAACGGATCCCAACATCACCCCTTACCTGGTTTTGCTTAAGGTGTTATTTTGTATTCCATGTTGATTGTTAAAATCATGTTAAATGTCCCTTCTAGTGAATGTGTTATATGTTTTTACCATAAACAATCCAAGCTTCTCTCTACAAAAAACGAGGTTCCTTCTTCGGGATAGGCAGCCTATGTTCCCGCAAAACGAGGGGGAAAGGTCCCAGTCAGAATCAGCAAATGGTTGTTCTCGCCATTTTTTCGATCCTTTACATTGTCCAATGTGGCTCAAACTGAAGAGTTGTGGCTCCAACTGAGGAGTTCGATCCATTTGCTTCAGGCTTTTGGATCTAGGCCCCAAATTTCAGTCCTTTCAAGTGCACAAATACCGCGGGAGGCGGAGATAGAAGGCTATAGGGGGAAAACCATGTGTTTCCTGAGACAACGTTTCTGCTGCTTTCTCACTGGGAGCTGCAGGGTTGCTTCCAAGAAAAGCAGTCCTCGAATGTGTTCCTCACTTCTTTCCTTCTCTTGATTTTGCCAAGACCTCTTGCGTCTTTCAATCTCCTGAACTGAGTGAATCCCCTGGCAGGGGACAAGGTTCCTGAACAGCGAATCCAAGTCTATTGCCATCAACGTCACTCGACTCGACTGTCAGATCACTCGACCTAGGACCTACGCATGAACCAATCTTTCGCAGGCAATTGGATGCCTCAGGGGCAAACCAGGAGGGTTCCGCTCCCTTTGCTCTCCTGAGTTTTATCATCCCCAAACCATCCCATCTATGGAATAGTTGTTCCAAGTAGATACAGTTACAAATGGAGCCAATCCAAGTTCTTTAGACACTCTCAAGGCAGCCCGAGCGCCTGCTGCCTTGAAGGATGCGCAAACTGAGCCGTCAGGCTTTCCAAAGGAAAGGGAGGCGTGGTCGACTGCGCGAGAGACTGAGCCCATCTTTGCTACTTGTAGGGGGAACTGCTTTGTAGGCACCTTGGACCAAGGGGGCCCTCAAGTTAAAGATGTTTTTCTATGCAAAGAGGACGGTTTTCATAGGGCTTTCCAACCCAGAAGGATTAAACATGTTGACAACAGTGTTCCACACGGTATTTTGGCCCAAACACGTAACTATCACACGGAGATTTTCCTAAGTGTGGAACGGGCTGAGGGCGCGCCGGCTGCCAGCATCACACAGCTCAGCTCGCCCCCCCGTGGAGGTGTTTGCTGCTCTGGAGGTTCCCAGGAAGCTTTCGGAGGCCCGTCGGCACGTGGCGAAGAACTTCCTTCCGTGAGAAGCATTGAGCTCTTTCCGTGAGAATGAACGCGCGATTCCCGTCCGGCGACGATTTGTGTTTGGGGAGCAGCCTCCAAGATTTGAATAAAAGAAACCAAGAAGAAGAATAACAACAACAGCAACAACAACTGGATAAAGCTGAAACATGTCCAGTTCCTTCCAAGTGATCCGGCCCCCCTCACTGAGAAAAGATCCCTTTTTGGACTCACGAAGGGGCTCCGACAGATCCAATTCAGAGGTCAATTCATATGAATTCGGTGGACATCCTGCCTTTTCTTCCGAACCACGAAAGACATGCAGCTGGGGTTGGGGGCATGTGACGGCATGTGGTAGAAACCAAGAGTCGCTGGCCCATCACAAACGAAGGTTTTTGAATGGTTCCCTCTTTTTGAGGTAGCTGGACGTGGGTCTCCTATGCTCCCAATCAATCAGACTGGGACGCTGCCAGATCAGCCGCAGACGCTGCGGCTGGGGGCCCATTTGCAAGAAATCCTCCAAAGGTTTTTCGTGAAGATTCAGTCTTCCGAGAGTCTCTGTCTCCGCCCAACCCCTAACAATATCCAACAATCACCTGTTTGCCGTCACGTGGATGGCTGTTTTGAGGTGTTTGAGCGTCAATGTATACCCTTGCAGACTAAAACCGGAGGGACGTGCTCTTTCCATGGTCTAGTTTCAGGGCTGGCTTGCATCAGGTCCATCTTCCGGTTCCATGAGATGTGGGCCATGGGATGCCATGGGTCACCCCGCCCCCAATGACCTCCATCGACCCGACAAACCTCTTCAAAGTACCCCAATGAGAGAGCCAGTCCTATCTTCCAGTCCACAATTCTCGCATGGATGGATCCGGAGTGGAGTGGGCCGGGTTCCCACACGGCCTCCTCCCCCTAAAATCACGTGGAGAAGAAGACCACCGTATGGTCGGCTGGAAGTTCCCACCGATTTCCGACATTCCGTGTACAAATGGCCGTCGGCTCAAGATCTTGCGGTCCAACATGGTCTTCCCTATCGTGTTGAAGAACCAAAGGATCTGAACACTGGAGTCGACCTGTGAGTGAAAGTACCTCGGAAGCAGGAGCTATGACTGCCAGGGCCCCCTGTTTTGGGGTGTTTTATGGACACCCCATGACACCCCTTATATACCTCTAAGGCTCTAAAAGGGGCTATTTTTAGACACCCCGAAACGGGTGCCCTGGCAGTCGTACCTGCAGTTCAGGTCATGTTCCATGTTCTGAACCGTCCGGACCCGAGTCCAGAAGAAAATCATGCTGGTCGCAGTGCGTGGATTCTCGAACTGTTTGGGGTGTTGTGAGTTCTGTCCCGAACAAAGCAGCAGCCTCCAGCAGATTAGACTCTTTCAAGTTACTCAGAAAGACCCTAAGAAATTGATCTGTTGAATCCAAGGGTGTTAAGTTGTGTTTGCTCCTTCAACACCTATAAACCTGGGTCGGACCTGAAGAATTGTCTTTTTGAATTAAAGCCTCTAACTTCCTTGGCCGATGGACATCACTGTATCATTGCCCAGTGGCCAGTCTATGAGTCTGGAAGCTCTTTCTGGCAGCTCCAGAGTGGGTGAGCTGAAGTCTGCTGCAACTCGGCACCTTTTTCCTGGTTTTGCTTTATAAGGTGATTTGTTATATACCCTATGACTTCGGGTACATCCCCTTAACCGGAGAATAATTTATATTGTTGTATGTTTCTTCCGGTTCCAAAAGTAAATCCAAGTGTTTGGACACAGTGACTCGAGTGCCTATAGTTGGTGCCCACTAATTAGTGCCCACCCTTCACACCGAAAAGAGTGCCTCAACCCTGCCAGTTGGAATGCCCATGAATGCCATATGATTAAAATGGATTCGTCATACCAGGACGCTCTAAGGGGTGTTGAATGGAAGCCTATAGGTAGTGTGGGGTAGTCCATTGGACACCCCGACAGGAGGGTCCTGGTACAGTCTGTTGGATCCTTTGTATCTTGTCTTTGAAGAAATTCTTCTGTTGAACTTAACCTTTTTAGCGTTCAGGACTCGTCGTAGCACAGGAACTGGCACGGGACCTGGGACAGGTGCCACGTGCGCCGGATCTCTTGGGTTTTCTGACTGATTAAAACCCTTTGTATTCCGGGTGAGGCCAGAGAATATTTTGGAGCTACTTTCTTACAACTGGTGCGATCTGATGGAAAGCAGCTTGAAGACACAGACCTGCTTGGAGAAAGCCTCGTGCATGGCGACGTCGTAGCTGCCATCATCCAGGAGTGGTTGGAAGCAGAAACTCCATGAACCGACCCGACCTCAGTCACTCCATGGCATTCTTCTTTTCCTACGATTTCAGGCGTCAAATAGGGGCGGCAACAAAAACAGGTCCTATTTTTAATAGTCATGTCCATTAGTCGTGTCTGCCTTGAATTCAGCAGAAACGTCATGTGAAACATCTCGAGGCTCTTAGGAAAAGGTGATCCTGCGTGTGTCTTCCGTGTGTCTGTGACTCCGTTCCTGGTCTCTTTGATGTTCCTGTCCTCCCTCAGACAATCATGGAAGCTGAGCAGCCCCTGCTTGTAGAGGATTAGGGTCTGCAAGGTACCTATGTTCCACTTCCGTTGCCATGATCCTTGACATGACCTGTCTGGGACTGGCATATTTGCCTACCTTGGGTTGCTGCTTGGGATCAGTGTAGGTAACAAGGCCATTGCAATGCTTGGGGATCGTTTCGGGGAGTGTCATCCCCTCCTCAGTCCAGGAGCCGAAGTTGGCGGCCACCGATGGTGCATTTGCTTTGTGGTCCAGCAGTGGCGTCATCACTTGGGGTCATGCGGAGGAGGGCGGTGACAGCAGCAAGGTGCAAGATCAACTGAAAGCTGTGCAGGACATCCAGGCGAGGGGTCAGTTCTTGATCAGTTCCTTTCATCCAAGCTCTCCCTTAATCCAGTCTCCAGGTCTCCAGGTCCCGGTCATATATGAGTTGTGCTTTTCTATGATCAAGTCTGAGCAGATAGGCTCTCTTTTGGTTCATGTTGACCTGGATTGCCCACCCCGTACGCCCGCCCGCCCGTACCGGTAGCGGATCGGCAGCGGATCCGTCAAGGTCGAGGGTTCGGTCAAACCACGGGACACCCTGCTCGAGGCCTCACGCTTGGCCTTCGCTGCCCTGTTGGACGGTGGGTCTGTGGTCACGTGGGGCGACCCGAAGGCAGGCGGTGACAGTACGGAGGTCCAAGATGCACTGAGACTTAGCCAAGCAGGAACTGAGTATGTTTCTTTATCTCACCTTTTGTTCTCATTATGACTATATAGATAATAGTTTTTCCTTATAGATATAGTTTTGCTGCTTCAATATCATCATCAGGTTTGCTGGTGAGGCTCCCAATGTGATTTCATGTTAGTCGAAACTCAACGCGTTCAGAACCGGCTAAAGTCCAAAACCAATCCTGGTACACTTGACACCTCTTTAAGACACGGCGATTGAGTTGCAGAACTCTGCGTCCTAAGCGATGTGACCAATCGGATTGTTTCGCACAATTGCAATCATTTGGATGGTTTGGGTTCAAAAGAGTTCAACTTTCGACTGAACATCCACAAGAACAAGGGTTTGGGTCCAGTGTTGTGTCGTCCGGTTTCCTTTTGGCACCGATTCACGTCAGGAAATGTGTTCAACACATCACCGCTGCCGCCCTGGGCGCTTTTGCTGCCATATTATTTGATGGATCTGTCATCACGTGGGGACGTAAGGAGATGGGTGGGGACAGCAGCAGTGCACAGCAGCAACTGAAGCAAGTGCGACAAATCCGAGCAACTTGGTTTTAGACCTGATGTATTTTTCGTGAGCACAACTTCAAGAGCCCCAAAGGCAGCAGTGCTTGTGTGCCCAGCAGTGTTTGTGAAGGCTTGGCACACACCAAGTCGATTTGGCAATCCAGTTCCAAATGAACGGCTAATCCTAGTTTTATCTAGCTTTTATTTTTCCCCCCTATGTGTAGCTCTCCAAACCTGGTGAATATGTGTGTACTTTCTCCCGGACTTTGGTCCGGTTTTCTGTTTGCCCATTTAAACACCCAGCGTGATTCATCGACACTACTCCGAGAGAAACACTCCGTTCGACACTCACATCACACATCCATTCTTGGTTCGATGTTTGGTGTTTCCCGCGTTTGGAGGCGTTTGGGAATAAATCCTTTTTTGGAGGTGTTTTGGAGGTGTTTCTTAGGGTTTCGCACGTTTATTCCAGACATCCAGGTTCGCACGTTTTGTTGGATGTGTTTTTAAAAGGATCTTCGCCCACTTGACACACTTCATGTGGTGCAGTGCTCAGGGGACATTCAGATCTTTTGGAATAATCTATAGGGAGTCTACGGAACATGTTTGCATTCTGTTTTGCAGGATCCCTGGTCTCCAAAAAGTTATGACACATTTTGAGATTCATGCAACCCACCGATCTATTTGTTGAGGCTTCTGCGGGGGCCTTTGCTGCAATTTTAGCTGATGGATCAGTGGTGACGTGGGGCCATCCCGTTTACGGAGCTGATAGCCGAGGCGTCCGAGATCAGCTGATCGACGTGAAAGAAACTCTGAGGATAGTGGATGAATGGTTTTGTTGATAAGTCAATCTTTGTTAAAGTAGCTGCTGAATAAATTCGTTTGTTTAAATGATTTCTTTAGAGAATCAACCAATTCTTTGCAGGGGTTCCCAATCTCCAATCTGAATTTGTTTGCAGGAAAGATTTGAGATATCTGAGTATAGTTGGGGTTCTTTGGCTATGGCTCAAACATGTTATAATTGAATGTTCTGCAGACATGACTCGAACCGACCTTTGGGTTCTCAATCGTTGCAGGTCGGGACCGGACAGTTGTGATGTACACGTTCTCAGGTGACCTGCCATTCGTCTCTCACTCGTTGATCACTGAGGTTGATCTTGACATTCGGGTGATCTTGGGCCCAAGACTGCACTTAGTGCCCGTTGTTGATCTCTGAGGTCTGCCTACCAGGAGACTGGACTTCGGAACCTGGGTCATGTCCTGGACCTCTAGGGAGAATTTGGATAAAGGCCACAGTTACTGTACTTCGAGCGATCCCCACCATCCCATTATTCTCTGCTCATGACTGTCTGCAGTACCGACAGTATTGCTTCAACATGACCAAGAAAGTGTCTGTCTTGCATAAATCTGGCATAATATGATTATGCCACTCTATTTGGCATGTATATATTCTGGCACTTTTTACATTCTATCCAGATTGAAGCTCCGAGGGCCCTCCATACCGAAGCTTCGTTTGCTTCGGCGCCGGGCCGCAGAGTCACTTAGTTGGCACAGCAATCCCAACAGCTGCAGTACAGCAAGCCCGCACAAAGGCGGTGTCACATAATATCACGGCTTTCGGGGCCGCACGCAAGGCTAAGGCAAGTATACAGCAGATAATGAGAGAGCAGCATTACATTGAGAGACATGTAAATGGAGACGTCCCTTCCCTTAGAAAACAATGATTCGCATCGAACAAAGTGCGCCAAAAAAGGCAGCAGGAATGGGACAGGAAGAAATGCCGAAAGATCGCCCCAGCAAAAGCAAGGACACAGGAACGGCCAGGGATGGTTTAGGTCTGGGATCAGGCTTCCGGAGTTGCAAGCCTTATGAACAAGAAACCATTGCCCAGGAACGCCGGCATCCTGGCAAAGCACAATTTTGGTGAACATGGTGCTGGGACCATGGAACGTGTCGGTGCTGTGGCGGGGAAACCAGGGCCCCCTACTCATACTAAATACGAATCATTCGGTCGCAGTTGACTTAGAAGGAATATATGACCTGAGGGCACATCACATCATCTTGCGTCAATCCTACCTAAAACGGTTTCAACCCTGTGCTTGTCAAGAAGAGAAGGGAATCAACACTTTTAGTATGGCCACCCAAAAAGGCTACAAACGCAAGAAAAGCTCTAACCATGTAGTTGAACCAAGGTGCATAGGCAGTCGTATGCAGTCGCGCTGTCGCCTCGGATTTTCAGCGGTGTCGATGACTATTTGCAATACTTTTGTTGCTATCTCTTTTGAGGCCGCTGGGGAAAGCGCTTGTGGTTTTATATATTCGCTTTGAGCATTTTCACTTGGCTTTGTGTCTGCCAAGATGCAAGCCATCGCTCTCATTCATCGTTGCACATTATCTCGGGGCGAAACAAAGGCAAGGGAAGCCTTTCACATTCTCCCTAGCCTCTTGCGTCTTTGCCAGTGGGTATAGTGTGAAAGCCAGCGCCACGCGCAGCCCAGTCCAGGAGTTGGCACGGCTGCTCCAGCATGAGCTGCGGCCCCTAATTCAGCAGTATATTCAATATACTCAGGCGCATGCTCGACATGGCCCCGGTGGAGGCAGTCTTGGAGGCGCTCAAGATGTCTCGCCAGAGGCTGACGGAGAATCGTTGCTGTAGCATATTCTTGCATTCTATCTGGCCTATCTTCTGGCATACTTTTTTGCCATTCTCTGTGGAAATTTTCTCGCCTCTGACATATATTGTGGCATTCTACCTGGCGCATGGTCTGGCGTTCTATACCTGGCATATGTTCTGACATTTCTTTGGCATTCATTCTGACATTCGTTCTGGTACATGTTCTGGCATTCTTTTGGGCATGACATCTGGCAATCTATGTGGTAAATGTTTTGACACTCTTGTAACATCTATTTGGAAATTCTTTCTGGCATAAACTGTGGTGGCGCCCACTACGATGTAGCGCTCGCGGTTGAGGTCCGGTTGTGCCCACTGCGAGCTGTCACTTGTGGTTGAGGCCCGGTGGCTCCCACTGGGATCTGACCTTCGTGGTTGAGGTCCAGTGGTGCCCACTTTCATCTGGCACTTGTGGAGGGGAGGCGAGGAGAGCAGCCGGAGAAGGAGAGGAGAGGAGAGGAGAGGACGGCTGTGGCCAAAGCCAACAACCCTTACCCTGCAGGTGGGGAAAAACAGTGTGATCGTACACAACAAAACAGTATCATCCAAATATGATGTAGGATGATATAGGATCCTTTTGTTGTCTTGACCTGCTTGAGCGAGATCCTTTTCTGTCGGTGTTAGGACATCGAGGCGACGGGGTCGGCTTTCGCTGCCCTTTTGGCCAACGGATCTGTGGTCACCTGGGGGCAAGCAGCTTCAGGAGGAGATAGCAGCAGTGTTCAAGCTCAGCTTCAAGGTGTGCAAGAGACCCTCAGTTGCGGCTCAGGATGGAGACGGGCGTCGCAAAGCCAGAAACCGTAGGGGATCCAACCAGCCCTAAATCTGGGATGCCAGAAAATTCTTTTAGAGGAATTGCAGAAACTATACTATATGCGTTCGGTTTCCAACATGGTTTTGCTCGAAGGGGGTGGGCGATTGGACTCCAAGACCAAAGGTGCCAGAGATTTTAAATATCGCTCAAGTGGATCGATCCAGTTCACCTGATTCGTCCGAGAACTTGTTGATTCGGGCACCCCAAAAAGTCACTGAATTACTGTTGTGGGATTGGAATGTCTTGGAATTTCAGAGGATCAGTTTTTCCGAATTGGATTCCAGGGCGGTTGCTCCATTTTCGCCCTTGGGGTGTTCCTTCTTCATATCTGGAGTCGTCCAAACACCCACATGACAGAATTTGGTTGCACTGCTCATTGAATTTCATTGATAGTAGATGGTTCAAGAGTTGCGTGAAACATGTGTTTCTCTGTGTTTGCGCAGAAAAACAAGGCTTGGATCTTGCGCCATAAAAAACGATCAATTTTCCACAACTTTCCACACGTTTTCTGCTCAGCACTCCCCGAGACTTCGAGCGACCCTCGGTGCCTTTGTTGCCATCCTGGAGAGCAGCCGGAACCTGGTCGCGTGGGGAATTCCAGAGCGAGGAGGCGCACCGCGCAACGAGGTGCAGGAGCTGAAGGATGTGCAGGAGCATTGGAACCGCTGGGCCGCTGGGAGCGGTAGTGTCTTGCACGACGTTGAGAGAAATGCCCCCGATCAAAGGTCTAAAGTTGTCCACATTCGAATACGTAGTACGCAAGGGGCAATCATTACCCTGGAACTGCCCGGAAGTAGATTCTACACAGTTTTTTTGAATTAGTGAGTTTTGCGGACAAAAATCCTGATGTGGAGATGAAAGAGGGTCAGCCTTCGGGAGAGAGATTTTCTAAAGGGGAGAAAGGGGAGATGAAAGGCGATTAGCATCAAGGAGTCAAATTGTTCTGAAAGATAGAAGGCAATTAGTGTTGTGGAGGGGTATTTTCGTTTCAGGGGAGGGATATGTTTTAAACAAATTGTTGGTGGTTCTGAGGGGCTTAGAAAGAGTATTCACCAGAAGGTGTTGATTCAGGCATTGGGCGACTCCAAGTTATGAAATGAAGAGGAACAAAATCAGAAGGAATCCAACAAAGCAATAAATAGTATTTACGCTAAAAGAGAAAGGCACAAACACCCAATAAAGCCCAAATTGTTGTTGATCCAACGAATCTAGGCTGCAAGTTAGTTTGGACACCAATCAAAAATGAATAGGAAAGTCCCAATGAAACTGCACTGTAACACCCAAAATTTGTTGCTGAATGAGTAAAATCACGCTATATTTATAGCGATAACAAATTCATATAAATTCCTGTCGAAACTCGTCGACATGTTCAGGAAATTCATGGAAGTTCATTAAACTCAAGTATTAGTTGACGACCTTTGATTAGGAATTTGGCTCTAAATTTGGATTTCGACTCTGCATCACCACTAGCCTGAGAAAACACACATATATGACACGTACAGTAAAAACATGTTTCAAAACCTCATGTTTAGACTGGAACATGTTTGGCTTTATTTCCAGAAGTAGGCGCTTTTCTTTTCTAATGTTTTGTGGTGTCAGGCTGGGCACCCACAGACCTGCACTCCATGCTCGCGGGGAGCTCTAGCCGCGGTTTGGTAAGTCTGCTTTTAGACCTCTATGCCTATATGCCCTATATCCCTATACTGTTCCTTATTTTTTTCTGGTGAGGGCAATTTTCAGGCGAAGCTAAAAACTCACACAACAAACAGTTTTGGTGTCGATTTTTGTCACTTCTGCGTTGTTTTTTGTCACTTCTGCGTCATTTTGGCGTCATGTTTTCTATCGCGAATTTGCTGCATGTTTTTGCGTCATGTTTTCTGGCGAGACGGAAACAAATACATCGTTTCAGGGTCCAGGTATATATATATATATATACCTGCATCTTCTAACTGTGCAGAATTTCTGCCTTTTCATGCATAAAACCCAACCAAAAGGCAGAAATTCTGCACAGTTGGAAGATCTAGGTATAAATTCCTTTGGAGTTCCTTTTGATTTGTGTTCCTTCCCATTGAATAACCTTTTGATGTCAAGGATGTCATTTGTACATGTCTTTGATTACAATTGAATGTCCATTAAATTACAGTTGATTCTTTATGATTCCATTATTCTGGCATCTGGCATCTGACATCGCAACATCGGTTAAATAATGCAAGGAAGTCAATCACTTTAACAACTGCCCCCTTTCACGTTCTCTATATTTCGGTTAGTTTGCTAATCAGATCTCATCAGTGTTGGTAGCCGTGTAGCTGTATTTAAAGTTAAGTTACCCCAGAAAAGAATTGTTGACCTGGTTTCGTAGTCTGAGAACATCAGGTCCTAGTAACACAATCATTGTTGGAAAAAAGGAGGAACACCTGTCACACATGTAAACACCATGTATTAAATCCATGATGGTTGGAATCCTATAGGATATACAAACCAATGTTCCGTCCGGTCAAGATGGGGCGGATGGCACGGGGAACGGTCACTCGAGCACCCGCCCAAAGATCTTCTCATGGAGGTCCAGTATGTGGGTAAAGTTTGGTATCACCATGTGCCCCAGGAGATTTACACCTCCAAACGCTCCTTCATGGCGATCTTGGCTGACCGCTCCGTGGTGGTTTGGGGACATCCAGAAGATGAATCGATGAGCGATGGTGTCCAACTTCAGCATGTGCAAAGGATCCAGGCATCGAGTCGCGCCTTTACAGCAGTGTTCTTGGATGGATCCATGGTATCTTGGGGCGATCCAGCGGATGGGGGGGACAGCACAGAAGTGCAAGATCAGCTGGTGGAGAAGGTGCATTTGATCAAAGCTTCGCGGTTCGGGCACTCCTTTGCGGCCATTTTGGCGAATGGACGTCTGGTGACCTGGGGAAATCCCCACCGCGGAGGTGACAGCGAATCCGCGGAGCGCCACGGCGGAAAACCACCGCGGAGCACAGATGTTGGGATCGATGGCACCGAAGAACCCCCGAAGAGACCAACGAAGAGACCTCAAGTTCAGTATAGGTCACTGAAGCACAAAAACCAACGAATGGCACCAGCTTCTTCAATGAAAGTGGTGGGTGTTCCCGAGGTTTCGGCCCCAATACCTCGGCCCTGGCCATTGCTCAAGAGATTCGTCGTCTTCAGCCCGGGAGTTGTGAAGAACCGTCGGTTCGATTCGATGCTCAGAGAGGCGTGGAACAACCGAACGCCGAACGCCGAGTTTGCCTTGGAACCCCATTCTTCGCCCCCAAGTAGGGTGGGTGGGGGAAGATTGCGGCAAGGAAAACCTTCCAAGTAGGACAAACATAGAATATATATCCACCAGCGCAGGAGGCTTTCAGTCTGAATGAGCGGTTTTCGTCCGTCTCCGTCTCCTCCAAATTCGGCGATCGGAACACTCCAAAGCGCCCCAACTCCCGACCTTTCTGAGTCGTTCTGCCGCGACAGTGCCGGCGAGGCCGTCGACAGTGCGCCCTCCGAAGCTGCGGAGGACATCTGGGGGGCAGCCGATGGCCGAATGAGCGAGAGGCCAGGGCCAAGACATTCCAGGTTTTTGGCGTTACATACTTGCACATTGGGGTGGTGTTTGAAAAGGGGGTCCATGTAACACAATTCAACCTCTGAAGATTGGAGTCAAGATGAGTCAAGACTCGCAAGAACTCAGTTGCACTCAACTCCTTGCACCCATAGCATTTAGTTTATCTTAGTTTCACCTCTTCTTCCTCACCATGCTCCAGTGAGCCCTCCAGGACCCCTGGGGAGGCTTCTTGCAGGCGGTCTCGTCGATCGCCCAGTCGCGAAGCGCGGTCTCGACCTGAGACCTGTCAGCGGTCCTGCGTCGCTCGCCGTGAGGCGGTCAGCGGTCCGGGCGGCGTCGGTCTGGGTTTTTGATGGTTTTTGGGCGTTGAAATCGTTGGAGGTGTTGTCCCAGACGTTCCATGTATTGCATGATTTTATATGGCATATATTTACTGAGATGGACCCCATACAACCACTCCAAATGTAGACAAATCTGCCACTATACAGCGTGAGTGTTTGCGTACAGCTTGCCTACATGCGGATGGTTTCAGGGGACCTACTGTTACGGAGAGGTATTCGGATGGGCCATCTCGTGGGGCTTGTTGAACCTCTCTTTCGGATGGTCCAATCGAGCTCTTCGGCTGCCAGGCTGATGCAGAGACCCACAGGCCAAAGGCACGGGTCCCACCCCCCCACCACGTGGCGGGGCGACCGACCGCGGCCGAGCCCGGGCCGCACCGTGCGGCCGAGGGAAGGAGGAGCATCTTTGGGGAAGGTATGCAGATGAGACATGCAGATCATGCAGTTGGTTCCTCCAAAACAGCTACGACCAGGTTGAGAGACCTGAACTGGGACCCTTGTATAGGGTTGAGGGTACCAAACAAGGGGTGGAATCTATCGGAATTGATGATTTCTGGGGCTCCAGTCCTACCTCCATGTTCGGTTCGGTGGGTAGGGGTTGGGTGGATTGAGAGAGTCGGTTTCTACCTTCGGATGCGCAGATGCGCAGCTTCAGTGGGCCATAGTTGGCCCAAAAAGTGGAGGACATGTCCATGGGGGATTCACCCTTTTGGATTTATTCCTGGCTCTTCAAGCAAAAACCAAGTTTTATGACATTCTTTGGCACATGACGCTCTTTGCTGCTCGGTCACCTGCTCGGTATGCGCGCCAGGGCAAGAAGGGCAAAGGCAAGGGGCCGCCGCATAGTGGCAAGGCGGGCTTGGCCCACACAGATGCCACAATTCTAGTGTTGAAGCATCGCGCATTTCTGCAGGAAGACTGACATGCGTCGTTTGGGTCACAACGGGGTCAATGAAAGTAGCTGTGCCCAAACCCACGATTCCCTGGGCTTTCCCGTGCTTTCATTTTTCAAGATTAGGGCCCCAGCTTAGAGAGTTCACCTGAACGTGTGAGGAAGATCCAAGATCTCAATGCAAAAGCCCCAGTTCCAACACTCCACAAAGAGTCAGTATTCCATGTAAATGTCCACACAGCATGATGTTTTCCCAGACAACCACTTGGTATGAATAAATGAAGCTTAGCTGCCTTGGAACAACTATTGGTTCTTGGTTGAAACCTGCGCTACAGTTGTGAGTCCTATATAGTTGAATGATCTTTGGCATGTAGAAGTTGGTTGATACACATGCAGCACATGCAGCGCTTTCGCTCCAGCGTTACCTCACAAAATCAGACAGCAAAGACCTAAGACTGACTCCTTTCAAAAAAAGAAAAACGTTTGCTATCGCAGATGCAATCGGACGCACACGTGCCTTCCTGGGTGGTTCTTGGATGGAACCATCTGCACATCGTTCAAATGGGTGGAACCATGCCCCATGGGGACATGGCGCAACGTCCAGTTGATGGGGGCATCCGGACAATCCAAATATCCAACACCCTTCCCCTCAAGTGGTTCGGGTCCGCTTTCTGAATGTAGACTAGGTACTCTTGATTCATCAACCCCCGCACAGAATGGAAGAGGTTTTGTCAATCTAATTGGGGTGGGTTTATGAATCAATTGAGTCTACAGTCTACATCGTCGACGGGTGGTTTTCTTTCTGCTCATAAAAAATGCAACACAGCTGCCATGCTGCACCTTTGGAGCTTGTCCGGTGAGCTCGTCGTGGAGCTGCCAGAAGATGCGTTGGATGCCATCGTTCAAAGCAAGACACCCGTCAGAGCGCTGAAGGAGTACTTGGCAGATCGGGATCGTGTTGGAAGGTCCCGGTTTCAACAAAAAGTCTTCAGGGAAGGGACTCAGTTACATGATGAAGCTTCAGTCTCACCTGGAGATCTACAGCTGGTGATTTCAGATTTTCAAGAGATTCCTCATCAGGATTTCCTTGAAGCATGTGAAGCTGGCCGGGTGGATGAGGTAGAAACACACCTTCACTTGCCATATGATCCCAACACTCAAGACCCAAAACATCGAGTAGCCCTCCATGTGGTGGCTGTCTTTGGCCAATTGGAGGTGCTGCGATTGCTCTTGGAGGCTTTTGCCGATGTGAATGCAACCGACGTCTATGGCAGAACTGCCTTGCACGAAGCCACGGCCAATGGGCACGTGAAGGTGATGCGAGAATTGCTGAAGGCACAAGCTGACGCCAATGCAGCGGGACAAGATGGCATCACAGCGTTGCAGTGGGCATCTCGTCGGGGTTTCCCGGCCGTCGTACGAGAGCTGCTCTTGGCAAAAACTGACCAGGAGGCTTCAGCAAACGATGGTCGAACTGCATTGCATTGGGCATGTTTGAATGGGAACTTGCATGTGGTTCAAGAGTTGTTCAATGCAGGTGTTGACAAAGAGGCTGCGGCACAAGACGGTTCCAGAGCTGTGCACTTTGCAAGTTTGAGAGGCCACTCCGAAATCGTGAGGTTACTCCTAGCGGCGGGCGTTGACAAGGATGTTGCATCAACTTCCGACGGCAAAACAGCTTTGCACTTTGCGGGTCAGAAAGGACACCTTGCAGTGGTGCAAGAATTGCTGAAGGCCAGAGCCAACAAGGATGCTGTGACACGAGATGGCTCAACGGCTTTGCATTTGTCAGCGCGGAGGGGACACTTGGAAGTGACGGAACTGTTGTTGAAGTTTGGTGTTCAAAAGGAAGCTCAAAGGGAAGATGGAGCAACTGCATGGCAATTGGCAGCTGAGCAGCAGCACTTGGAAGTTCTTCACTTGTTAGATAGCGACAGCGCATTTGACAGCTAAAAGAGTCAGGGACTCATGTGCATCATGTGCCGCGTTTGCAGTTGCTGCTGCATTCTAGTACTTTCACTTGACACAGCAACATGCAACAGCACAAGATGGTGTCCCCGCTCTGACAATTGAACACATGGCAAAGTGACTGTCGCATGTCGCTTAAGGGCATCCATCGGAAGAAAGAGTACACGTTGGTCAACGTTCGACACTCGATGGGACTGCCTGGAAGCCTGTACCTAGTCCAGTTTGGTCCAGTAGAAGCCAGTAGAACCTAGCCTTGGTGTTTTGGTATGATCAACTCCAGTCCTGACCTGTAGGTCCAGTCCTGACCTGTAGGTCCAGTCCCTATCAGGAGTCAGACTTGTCCATGCCCATGCCCAACTCATATTGGGGGGGCTTGGGGAAAGTCGTGACACGATGCCTGGAGCCCTCCAAACGTCGGGGCGCTGAAGAACACGGTTCGACACTGCACCTGACTCTGAGAGCTTGGCGCATTCGACACCAAACCTGGTGACCTTCAAACAGGGGTCCAGTGGTACTTTGTCCTTTCTTCAGGGTCATGTCCGGGTGAAGAAAAGAAGTCGGGGTCCACACGGAATCGACTTTCGCACCAACCCTGGGTAGAACCAACACAGTGTGAGTAGTTACGTAGATACAACGTCCTTGATACAACGTATAGATAGTAGTGGTAGCATACGTTGTTACTCAAACTCTTCCTGAGTAGTACGTGACTCAAAAAAGAGAACGTACTACCAGACCTGTGGGAGATGGGGCCATCCGGGTCCAGGACCATCCGTTTGCTACCACGAGCTCGGACATCAACGGCCTCAGGGCCACGAGCATTCGACCTGGTGCCACGTACGTTCTCACCTCCAAAACCATCCGAAGTACGGAGGTACCTGGACCATACCTGGAGCAAGCGCTGGTCAGTGCATCAGCGGCGCATTTGACCTGTGCATCTAGGTGACTCCTGTGGTCCATACCAGCGCCCGACTTCACAGCTCTCCGTTTCAGCTGTGAAGTCTCCGTTTTAGCCACTTCGGAGACCTGTGAAGTCGGGTGCTGGTATGTGTGCACCTTGCGAAGTGCCCATGGCGATGTCGGACTTCGCCCGCGGCCAGGCACCCAAAGCCACCTCTTCCGCGCCGAAGGTTCAGCATGTGGGGAGGCTCAGGACGAGCGTTCGCCCTCAGGGCTCCTGTCCCCACCTGGTCAGAATTAAGGTTAGAGCCACCTTCTCCCAGGAGGAGGCCCGCCTTCAACAGGTGGTTCTTTTAAAGATCACCTCGTGAAGGGTCCTGGGGTTCCCAACATCGACAAGATCACCTCGTGGAGGGTCCTGGGGTTCCCAACATCGACATGGATTGGAGCCGAACGAGACACAGACCACGTTGCCAGAACGGGACTCGCTGGGATGGCGCTGAACTGGTTGGCACTAAAGGCCTTGTTGGTTGGCATTTAAGGCCAGGCGTGCAGGCGTATGTTCTCATCTTGCCACGCCACATACACTCTGGGCCGCCCCCAATATAAGCCGGCCATCGCTCTTGGGCCAACGCTCAGGTTGGAGCCCAGTGATTCAGTGGATTAGGTGCCCAACCAAACTTTGGGTATTTCCCCACTGAAATCCCTGCCGCAGGTGGCGTTCGTTCACTTTGATGTGAACCAGGATTTGTGTAAACACATATTGGCCTCAGGAGATCCAGAAAACTTGTTGAATGTTGTTACCTTTCTGAAAGATCCAGTCCAGACGACCTGCAGCTGGATTTTGTCCACTTCACTTCCAACCTCTGGAGATCGATTTCGGGGTCTCTCTATGGGGTCTACTGACCCTAGGGCTCCAACCACACCCACCCCCAACCACCTTCTCAGGAGGTAGTTGGAGCCGTAGGGTGGTACCGATCCAGATTCCTTTTTGAGTCGGGTGGTTTTACTGTACCATGATTGACCCACCCAAATCCACTTTGACGGTCCAAACCTAGTCAACCTGAGTGCCGTTCTGTAGTGCTTGTGTAGGTGCAACTCCAGTAAAATGAGGTCATTGACCTGTAAAGGTATGGTGTTTTCCATGTGTCCATTCCCACACCAGTCGGGAGTGGCACTGGGATTCGTTGAAGCCAGAACAGAATCGAACAGACAGCGATGCTGGTGTAGTCACTGTAGTCTCTCCGTGTCGTTTGGCTTGCACCGATTTGTTGGCACCGATCGCACTGAGCTGCGATCGCGATCGACGTGAGATCGGAGATCGGAGGATGGCAGGCAGAGGGGAAAAAAAGGACACAAAAGCGAATCCGTTGAACTGATCCGGTTCACCTCATCAGTTCTTCTTCTAAACCCAGACACGGAAACACTCCACCAATCATTGGTACCGGTACCGGATATAGATGGATATATAGAGGAAACATGACCCAAAAGCATTCATGGGATTGATTTCAGGGGTCTTTCTGGTGCGCTTTTTGTTTTTTCTTTCAGTCCCAGTTCCAGCTCAGACGCCAGAAGTCATGGCTGCTTCTTTCCTCCGGCCAGGTGCGCCGCAACAGCGGGATTTCAGAGCTCAAAGCAAGGGTGGAGGCCGAGGTGCGCTGCCATCCGCTCCCTTTGGGTTCCAACAGAGAAATATACATTTCTAGGCCTCCAGTCGCACCGAACCTGAGAAGGTGGGACTGGGGTGGGCTTGGAGGGTCCAGTCATGCTGAACCTGAGGAGGTACGACTGGACGGACCGTGTTTTTTGGGGTACGACGGACCCATCACCCGTACGTCCATCGATGGACCAGTCGATGGACCTCACTCAGTCGATGTCTTGGAATAGATCTTTTCAGGTGCTGTCATTTGCAGGACATCGTGTCGAACAACGGTTGTCGTTGTCACCTGACTTGGGGCCTTCATTGACAATTGATCGTTGATGAGCAACTTCCATCACAGATGGAACAAATTGTGCAGGCTGCTACAATCCTTCTCTTCAGATGAGCCTTCTGGATTCAGCAGCCAAAGAGAGAATCCAGAGACTGTTCAGTTGATGATCCATTTTCAGAATTCATCAAGAATCGTCTGCCAGGGGCAGAGGAAGGATCGTGAAGAGGCCAAGGTGCTTTCTTCGCGGACATGAGCCCGCGCGGTGTGGCGTGCACGCGACGGGGAGAGACGGGGAGGCAACAAGAGAGGTTGAACAGCCCCAAGGTCGCCCATCCCATATGTACCACAGACCAGGGTCCTAGTTCATTCAGGTCTCTCAACCTCTCCTGGTCAGAAGGTTCGGTGGGGACTGACTCCCCTGGCACCCCACCCCTGGCCCATCTTCGAAACGGAGGTAGTTGGAGCCCTAGGGATCTAAAAGCCTTGGTTCCTTACTACTCATGGGATCATCCACTGGGATCCACTGGGACCTCTGGTGCTTCAGTGCTTGCTCACTCGTCCAATGAAGAACCCGTTTAAAAACCCGTGGAGGGGCGTTTTCATGGAAGGTGTGGAACGGATTGGCGGAATCCGCCCGATCTGGAAGCTGGGAGAGTTCAAGGCTTCAAGCAGTCGCCAGCCTTTCTCACATGTGGCCCAAGCAAGGGTCAATTCTCAGGGTGTTTTCGATTTTCTGCCGGTGCCAGTCTGGTGTGGACGCCCTGGGCTTCACTTCTATGGCCACTCTGGTGCTTCCCTTCTGGCCGAAAGAAGACCGTCGGTGTGGACCGGGTGAGGAGGAGGACTCAGAGGTTCCTTCTTCACCCCGTTTTTGCGGGATTTGGGGGCTTTCGCATGCTTTCACCGTACACCAACCCCTCACCTGAACGAACAATGGACCAATTCCCAACGAACCATGGACCCCTGTGGTTTGGACACTGGAAAGACCAGACTGCTCTTCCAACTCGCTGCACCGGCTTTCAGGGTCCATGTGAGTCAGACTAGCCGGGACATATTCCTCTACAAACCAGGCCTGGTGGACTCAGGTTCCATGTGGATCTCTTCCAGGGAAACCTCTCTTCTGGACTTGAGCGTCAGGAGATCTCGGATCTAGACCTCTCACAGTACCTCGGAACCAGCAGAGATCCAGCAGGCCACAGGAGGGCGCAGCCGAATCCAACGGATGTGTGTGTTTTTTTCTTTTTTTTGAAGGCATTTGGCCTGGAGTCTGGAGGCGACCTTCAGAAGTACCTGAAAAAACATGTGGGTGGGTACTGTCATCATTTTTAGGGGTGATCTTCGTAGCGACAAGACAACTGCGGGGCTTCAGTTGAGGAGGAGCGTCAGTGGTCCAGTATCAGGGTCCGTCCTATGTGCCCCGTCCGGGGCGACGTCTGGTGACCTGGCACTCGGGATGAACGGGGCTTTCGTCCGGTCGAGCGGCCCTCATGACTTGGCTCGAACACCGTCGGGTCGGGTACTGATGGTACTGAGGTACGGTGGCAATGGATCCTATAAATTAAGGAGCTATAAGATCTTCCAACTATGCAAAACGTTGGCCGAAGCTGTCTGGTTGTTGCGTTTTGGAGATGTTTGAGGGCAGACTTGTTGCACACAGACCGGAGCTTCAGAGAGGACCACTGACTAGAGGACCTGAGGAGTTCAGATGACTTGAGGAAGAAGGGGCCATGTAGACAGTGGATGAATCACACTAAACCACCTTCTGCATGAGGTAAACCCATTTCCGGAAGGATTCGGTAATAGGCTTTGATGTGGTAAAGTTGCAGGGTCCAGTCACTGACTCCGGAAGCAAAAACCATTCTGTCGCAATGAATCAACCTGTCATGCAATGTGTCTACATGACATATACAGCAACCAGACAGCAACCCGACCACCAGCCGGTTCTGATCCGCGCTGAGGATCAGCCCTGATGCATCTTGCGAGCGCGTGGCATGTGCACGATGTGCTTCTTGGTCAATCGACTGGGGCGCTTTTGGACAGGTTGGACAGATTTGGCAGCTTCTTCAGTTCCTTTAGGGATCCACATGCCTTCTGAGAAGGTGATTGGAGACACTGTTATGTAGGTTTGGAGGGTCCAAGTACCTTCTGACAAGGTACTTGGACAGTTCGTGACCATTTTGGAGTCCCTGTTTCTGACCTCGGTTTTTGGCCCACACTTGTGACCTCTCAATGCCAGGATATCAAGTTCACTTCGAAGAACGTGGTTGGTGATATCAAGTGTTCTTCAACCTGTGGGATAAGTGTTCTTCCCATGAATTGGACTCCACACAGTTCATGGATCCTCTATCTAAAAAGGACACACTCAGCTAAGGTGCATTGTACTATAGTACCCAAGAGTCTCTTTCTTCAATAAACATCAGGAGCAAATCGAGCTGTGGCTGCAACCCTTCTCGGACATCGGTGGCACCCTGACGCCTACCCCACTGTTTCACAGGCCAATACGAATACGACATACGACATAGACCGCGACCGGGTGCGGACCCAGCTCCCTGTCAGGAGTCTGGGGGTCAAGCGCTGGGACAGTCCGGGTGTGTCCTGCAGCTTTTAGGAGCTCCTTGCATTGCCCCCCATCCAATCCAGCACGATCATAGCCTGAGAGGCAATCAGAGAGATTCCCTCAAGCTTTCATGGCCAGGGGTGTTTTTGCGTCTCGGATGACTTGGGGAGTTCAATGGATTTCAGGTGAAATCACCGCGTGAGGCTGAAAAACGGCACGTGGAACCAGGATGAAACACAGTGCTTTAGTGCGACGTTGTCCAGGAACAGGAGGTGCTCAAGGAGCACCTGGAGTCTCACATGACGGCACACAGCAGTGAAATCCTCCCCTGGCTCTTTCTGGGAGGCGGGAGTGAGGTGATCGTGTGATCGTTTCGGAGTGAAAAAGGTGACCACCTGGTGGAGTCGCACCTGGAGTCGACCGAACCTGAAGAAACCTCAAATGGGTAATATAGTAAACATATGTAACCCGCTTTGGGTTCGGGTCAGACGTCCGATTTTTGTTCAAGGTCAAGTTACTTGAAGACAGGTCCAGAGACTCAGAACTGGGGAAGTCAAAGTAAGTCCATGGCCAATCAATGACTATATGTTCATGTAGGTCATCAATTGAGACCTCGTGAAGGTCTAACATGGTCTAACATCCCTCTTTAAAAGCAACCAATAAAAACTGTCGGAGGGAATTACATCTTTTTTGCACATGCAAGAACCGGTCCGAATGCATGTCGACACGAATTGGAGCCGAGTGTCACAGGACTAGGCCCACTTGCCGGACTGGCGTTCACTTCGCCGTTGCCCCCGTTCGATGGCCTGGCTCGCCACGGTACATCCTTGACATGCTGCGAGGCAAGCGCAACTTGGAGAATGACAAGGCGGCAGTTCCATTCCATTCCGCCGAACGAGTTCCACCCCGCTGGCAGTTCCGTGAGTCTTGGGGCCTCTTGGGGTGCCGTTTTTCCCGAAGGAAAGAGACGGAGGTGAATTAGCCTCTGGAATCCAGTGGTACCGAAGCTCACGTTCGGTACGAAAACGGACCACCCGAGGTTTTGGCACCTACAGTACACAGCTGTCTCCTTCCTCACCTAACCTGAGAAGGTACGACTGGATCCCGGGATGGAGCTGGTAGATAGTCAAACTTCCAGCAGCCTGAGGGAGACAGCCACGCCTATCTCGACAGCCACGCCTCATCTCGTCATCGTCATCTCGACTTGAAAAAGCTAGATGGTGTGGATGTGGAAAACCCCCTCTCTTCCATGCACCACCTGTGCATTCCTCGGAATCTCCACACCTATCCCCAACAATCCATGGGACTGGAATATTTATTTGCCCACATTGAGCCTATTAAAAACATCTCAGAACCATCCCACTGTACCTGGACCTGAACACCGGGGTGTCCTTAGTAGTGTAGGGGCTTCCATTGGTGACGCTGGTAGGGATTCAATCCTATGGATATATTATGGGTTTAGCTTGTACCTCTTGACATGATTCATCCACACGCCTCCCACGTGCTCGCAGTCCCTCCACGGAAGTCCATCCGCAGGAGCTCACCATTCGTACCAACATCACTCATGTGCTGAACCTGGCACAGGAGCTTCCTTTGTGGAGAAGGGGGGTGGTGAAGTCTTGTTTTTCTTTTTGCAAGGTGTTATGCAATTTTGGAGGTCCACTGATCTTCTTGACCTCGGAACCATAAACGCGTGAGGTTTTGGTTTCTCCTGAAACACGCTTCTTGAATCCTTGCCTCAGGTGGCTGACGCTGTTGCTGGTGATGCGTGTGGGTCGTGGTGCTGGTGAGGTTGTTTCATGCTCAACAGCTCAACATGAAGACGTTACACCTATAGGCATACTCAGCATTGACCAAGCATCAAGGGTCGTGGCTGACAAGTCTCATTGGCGCGTTTGCAGGAGGTGAACTTGAAGGAAGACATCCGGACGCCGGGATTCCCTGCGAATGGACGGTGTTTCTTTTCCTTTGCTCTATATAGAGATCCACCGTCTCTCACCTTCTTAGGTTCACAACTGGACCCGACCCGGGCCCGAGGTCTGTGGATCTGCATGGTGAACGGTGAACGGGTTGGTTGTTAGATGGACCTGCTAGCTCGATACTCAAACGCTTTCAACTGGTGCACCGGGCGGACTTGGTGTGATGTTGTTGGTTGGTTGGGCAGGATTTCTGCAGGATGTTGAGTGGAGTATTGGATGGTATTTGTTGGTCGTTTTCAGCTCCCAGCAAATGCCAGCAAAATGCGTTGTTTGTTGAGTGGCGAGCTCATTCACTTGGTTCGGCCTCATCTGGATGGGTTTCTTTTGCGCCATCTGGACATACATTGACAGGACCTGCAGGTAGGCACGGTCGGCATCTCGTCCGTAGCTCTTGGGGCGACCGAAGCCCTCCGGGGCGACCGACCGGTCGACGGAGTGTGACCAGAAATCGAACCACAGTGCCCTTCAAAAGCAACTTCAAGCCATACAAAACACACGCACCCAGCAGCACCTGTTGGTGCTTGGAACATGTGAGGATTTGTCATACTCATCAGGTCTGAAGTCTGAAGATGTCTTACTAAGCACACATCGTCTGTCACTGGGTCGAAGCCGCCCCAGAGGCGAAGCTCGGACCGGTCTGGACGGACCGAGTGGCCGGCGTCGTGGTCGTTCTGAGCCGCGCAACCGCGCGAGGCTCCTCACCGAGTACCAGGCCGAGCGAGGCCTTCAGTTTGTGTACAAGAAGATTGGCCTGGGAGTGTCCTGACTCACCCGTTTTGGTCAATGAACGGGCTGGAGAGGGAACATTTTGGGGGATCCAGTCGTACCTTCTCAGGTGATTGGAGACACTGCAATGTAGGTTTGGAGGGTCCAAGTACCTTGTGAGAAGGTACTTGGATCCCTAGGGAATCTGCAGCAAACCAAAAATCGCTCCCAAAACTATGGGGATTCCTGTAGATTCTCCCTGTCCCAGTTCAGTGCGGGACATGATTTCTCGGATAGTTCAGTGCGGGGGGAGCCAGCAATGCTTTGAGGGTAGTTGGAAGGTTCAAACAAGTTGTGGATTGGAGTCACATTGAGTTGGGTGGATGTGACAGGGGCTATCCTCCTGTCAAAGGGCACGGGTGACTCATGGTGACTCTATGTGACTCTTAAACAGACCCGTCCAAGGACATATTTTGGCTAATGTTTGTTTATAGGATTTGATGTGTTGTTGCTTTTGGTTTTGGGTTCTTTGGCTCAAAGCCTGCCCGGCATCTTTGCACCGCCCTGAGCAGGCCGGTCAACGAATCGTCGGGGCATTTTCACACATGTGATGTCAGCGTAAGGGTTTAAACAACGCTGTAAGAGCACGGAAGCAGAATTGTAGAAGTTCAGCTACTAAGTGACCTAGAGGTTTGAAACTTCTGGCAGGTTGTCACAACTCAACCATCAGCCTGACTCATCTGCACACGAGGCTTGCCTCTGGAAGCCAACATGAGGCACACCTGAGTGCAAGGTTGTTCCAAAAGTCACGCACAAGGCTGTGTTTGGAGGTTTTCCCACGCAACACATTGGCAGCAAAGCTAAGCAGCCTTCTGAACTGTTTTTGTTTTCTAACCAGTAGACTGTCTTGATAAGCTTGCTAGTAACCAAAAGGCCTATATAGATGTGTGTCTTTGTTCTTTGTTTGAAGTGGGCCACTGACTGCACCGCGGTGACAGAGCGATCGTCTATAGCCTCTTCCAAGCCCCCGCATAAATGAAGCCATAGAGACTAACACCTTTGCTTGGGAATCCAACAGGGGGAATGGT